GAATTTTGTCAAGGCTTGTTAGGTGCACTTCTGGGTTTCTTCGGTGCATTATACCGAATTAATAAAAACGCTATTATAATTAACATCGACATAATCCCGATTCCAATGCCCAAACGAACCTCAGTGAAATCTACAATGGAGTTGAGAGCAATTTCTCGGAGTACTGATTCTCCATCGAGAGGCTCGCAGGGTGCCTGGACGATTATGTCCTCGCGCTGCACCTGTTTCGCTTTGCAGTTCATTAATTTGTTGAGTGCAGCTTGTCCATGGATTTGTCGGAGGAGAAAGGCTAACGTCCACTCCATTGGGCTGAGATTTTGGTACCAGGAGGGGAGATTTTCCAAGTGGAGGGTCACACCACCTGCAAGGGTCATCTCTCCTATCACTAGGCCAGAGAGCAAAGCTGCTAGGCCACTCCATTTGCAGATGTGCGCGAAGAATGTGCAGATGAAGTGCTGGAGCATCAGGTAGAGCAGACCGTATGACAAGTACGACCACAGGGATGTCAGGTTTTCATCTACTGCCAGGTGTAGGCCTGACATGGCAAAAGCTGGACCCAAGTAGATCGCGTAGATCAGGCACCAGGAAGGAAAACTGCAGAGCAACTGAAAATCGACATTTTGGATTTTAAACTAGCTGAAATTTGAAAATTCGAAATTTCAAAAAAAAAATCGAGGAGGTATTCACTGAAATTGAAAAATGCGAAATTTTTCAAAAAATATCAGGAGACCATGAAAATCGAGGAGGCGTTGACTGATCTGCGGTGATTATCTACCATATTACGGGAAATGATAAATTCCAGAAATATTTAAAAAAAAAAAAATTTTTTTAAATAGCAAACTTGACTGCAGAACTGAAAAATGTTTTGCATGAAGTATTAATTGATAAATCATTACCTCAATGATAATATAAATGAATCGTCCATAGAGTCCATCCTTGACGTCTCTCTCGATGTTGGGTCTGGCCTTGGTGATGTCGAATATCTGGAGTAGTCCCAGAGGCCAGAATAGAATCCCCAGACTTGCATAATAAAATCCAACTCGATCTCTCAGATGTAAATTGGTGTCTCCAGCGATGTCCCAGAATATCGCCCCAAGGATTATGCTGAGGGATGCCGCGATAAGAATTTTCTGGAGAAGCCTCGTCAGGGCCCAGGGCTGGCTGTAGACTAGGGTCTTCATGAGAAGGGCATAGATTTGTACAAAAATATTGGCATCGTAGACAGCTGGAGGTAGATTGCCCGGAGGACCTGGATCTGATGGAGGTGGGAGTCGAGCCTTGGCGAGTTCTGCCAGATGATCGATCCTCTGGGAAGACTCCAGCATCGCTTCTGCTGAGAGGTCATCCAGAGTCACCAAATCCAGATAATAATCCGAAGGATTTTTAAACGGTGGACATGGGAATTCCGCTAGAGCAAAATAGGGTAGCATGTCTCTCCTTGATCCTGTGTACATGATTCTCCCTCCAGAGGTAAGAGCCACCCTCGAGACCATCGTGAGGATTTCATATGTTGGGGGATGAAGAGTTAAAACAACCAATCTCTCTCCCCTGATTGCCCACTGCCTCAAGTACTCAACCAGGAAGAACGCATCGAAGATGTCGAGACCATGTGTCGGCCTGTCCAGCACCAGAATATGAGCATCCTGAAGTAATCGACAGGCGAGAGCTAGTCTTCTCGCTTCTGAAGTGGTGAGGGTGCTGACGAGGCAGTGCTTCGTTGCTTCGAGGCCCAATTCCTGGAGAATAGCTTCAGTCTCCATTTCCGATGTTTGGGAACCACCTCTCAGGCACATGTAGAAACTCAATACCTGTTGAGCTGTTAAACCTGGACTCAAACTGCTCTCCGCTGGGAGGTAAGCCACTCTTGACCTTTAAAAATACAAATGGTTAAAATGAAAATAAAATATTTGACAACTGCAAATTATCTGGGGGAGAAGAAATTTTTTTATTTCCCCAATAATGACCCATTCAAAAATTCATTGAATCGTTCTGACGAAAAATATAGATTACCTCAAAGTCCTGGTGGAGACACTCCTCCCATTAATGAGAATGTCTCCCCTTTTGATTCTCCTCCTCCCAGCGATGGTCTCGAGGACAGTAGTCCCCTCTCTTTCAGTGGTTGCCATGACAGCAAGAACATCAGTTGCCCCAGCCTCCAGAGTAATGCCCCTCAAGGGTGTCCTGTGAGAATCTCCAGAGCTCTCAACCCCCCTCAACTGCAGATGTGGATGCTGTGCAGAAAGTCTCCTGAGGGTCTGTCCATAATCTCCCTCCGGCCCAATGAGACCCTGAGGCTGTCCCAAAACTGCCTGTCCATATCCAGGATCCATGGGTGCAATGCTGTGTCTTCTGTTTGGTCTCGAGGCGTGAAGAAGATTCGCTTCACTCGCACTTCTCATCTTGTTGTCCCTGACGAGCAATTGGGATGGGGTTTGCTGGACCTCCCGGGGGGTCCCATGGACCTGTCTGAAGTCCGGATCACTTCTCGCTGATCTCATTGCTGAGGATTGCTGTTGAATTCCACTGTGAGAAATTCTTCGACCTTCTTCACTCGAGTCGTAACCACTCGAACCATCTCGGGCCCTTGACGGAGGAAGCACCCGGGGAAGACCGAATTTCAAGTAGGTATACGAATTACTCGCTAGGGGACTTTTTGGGCCGTATCTTGGATGCCTCAGGATACTCTGAACCGTTGAATCCCTCAGCTGAAAATTACCGTAGGGCAGTGGAGACTTCTCTGCTGAACCCAGGGCTGAGTCTGTGAAGTCCGAGTTCAGGTTTTGTCTGGAAAATAAAAGATTTTCTCTTTTTTTTT